GCTTTGCTTTTTTGACACGTTTGACACATCCACTTGTGTATCTTCTTATGTCTTGACGTGCTCCGCCTCACTGCAGGTGCAGAACAACACAGATGGCCTGAAGGGAATCATACAGCAAAAACATCCACTCTTGTCACGTTTGTCCTACAACTACACACAAGGTCAGAATATGCCTGTTAGCCTGGGGTTCTTTTAAGAAGTTAATCTCAACTCAGTGAAAGCAGAGTTCATATTTTGATGAAATCCATTTGAAGAGACGAACATATTTGGGGATTTGGGCACATAAAAAAATGAAGATGATAAAATCTTTCAGATGTTTTCATTTCTGCACATGAACTAGACGCCAGTTAAGATCAGCAACTTGGCTGAAAAACAATCTAAGTGATCTTTGTGTTACACAAAAAGATTATATTTTCGCTGATATAAAACACAGTCTTACCCTCCTGACAACCAGCCTATTCATTTATGTCCTTTGTAACGGACACTTGTTTTTGCTCTTATTTTTGACTTATTCGAACTACCCTACCAAGTCCTGGTTTACTAAATAGAGGACATCCTGGGCTTTCCACTGATATCTTATCTGTTTTTTGGGTGGCCTCCTTTAGCTCCAAAGAGGCAGGAAATCACAAAAAAGTTCAATGGGAACATTCTTTTTTTCCTTGGTTCTCATTTGAATATGACAGCATCACAACCATATTTTAAAGAGGTTTTCCTCTACGGTATATCTCTGTATTCAAATGGAATTGGATACTAGAAATTTCCAAGCAAAACTAGGTCAAAGCAAGTTTGTAATGAATTTATCATGAATAGCATAAATTGGGCATCTGTTCTTGTCCTTGGGTGTGAAAATGCTTTGAAAAAGCAAACTTTGGTTAATTAGAGCTCAATCCGGTGAAAGCTGATCATGGTCTAATTGTGTATGAAAGAACTGAGAGCCTCACTTGGCTGTGGTTTCTGAGCTCCTCGGGAGTCTTTTGTCAAATAGAATTCAATTATCTGCGCTTCTGCACAAGAGCCCTTTGAAGAAGAAATTCACCAGAGCACAGCATCCACACACTGTTTGGATGGGCTGCCATAAACAAACACAGCTTTCTCCCACACTAAGGGTATGCACAACATTAATTACTGCAAACAAATCCCTGTCATTATCACCCATCATATTTGTTCTACATGTAATATGCATTTTGCCATCATGTAGCTGTTCTGTTTAATAGCCAATGCAAAGTTTAATATCACCACACAAGGTCATGGATAACAAGATACTTGCATTTGAATTTACTAAAAGGTAAAAAGTACTACACTGAGCCACCATATGCTCCCCAATTAGCATTGATCATTTAGTCAACACCATCTTAGCGCTAAAACTAAACCTAACATTCAACCTAGACATCTTTCAGTCTGGGCAGAATGTCCTATTTCAAACATTCAAATGTTCATTATATAGCTACTGCTGACCCTGTGCATTCTGTTATTGAATAGCCAAAATTTTAATCACAAATTTACAAATTTTTAATTTTTCTTCTCCATTTCATCCAAATACTTATCAATAAAATCTAAATTTTATGTAGTGAAATGTCTCACGAACCCCTAATACTTCTCAGCAGCTCTTACAATTATGCTCTTGTTTACACACCATATTTATTAAAAGCAGTGTTGTTGTACAAACCGGATTGCATAAAAGTTGGGACACTAAACAAATTGTGAATAAAAACTGAATGCAATGATGTGGCGATAGCAAATGTCAATATTTTATTCAGAATAGAACGTAGATGACAGATCAAAAGTTTAATCCGAGAAAATGTATAATTTCAAAGGAAAAATATGTTGATTCAAAATTACACGTTGTCAACAAATCCCAAAAAAGTTGGGACAAGCAGCAATAAGAGGCTGGAAAAAGTAAATTTGAGCATAACGAAGAGCTGGAAGACCAATTAACACTAATTAGGTTAATTGGCAACATGATTGGGTATAAAAAGAGCTTCTAAGAGTGGCAGTGTCTCTCAGAAGCCAAGATGGGTAAAGGATCACCAATTCCCACAATGTTGCGCAGAAAGATAGTGAAGCAATATCAGAAAGGTGTTACCCAGCGAAAAATTGCAAAGACTTTGCAGTTATCATCATCAACTGTACATAACATCATCCAAAGATTCAGAGAATCTGGAACAATCTCTGTGCGTAAGGGTCAAGGGCTACTGTGATACTGGATGCCCGTGATCTTCGGGCCCTTAAACGACACTGCACCACAAACAGGAATGCTACTGTAAAGGAAATCACAGAATGGGCTCAGTAATACTTCCAGAAACTATTGTCAGTGAACACAATCCACTGTGCCATCCGCCATTGCCAGCTGAAACTCTACAGTGCAAAGAAGAAGCCATTTCTAAGAAAGATCCACAAGCTCAGGCGTTTTCACTGGGCCAGGGATGATTTAAAATGGAGTGTGGCAAAATGGAAGACTGCTCTGTGGTCAGACGAGTCACGATTCGAAGTTCTTTTTGGAAATGTGGGACGCCATGTCATCCGGACCAAAGAAGACAAGGACAACCCAAGTTGTTATCAACGCTCAGTTCAGAAGCCTGCATCTCTGATGGTATGGGGTTGCATGAGTGTGTGTGGCATGGGCAGCTTGCATGTCTGGAAAGGCCCCATCAATGCAGAAAAATATATTCAGGTTCTGGAACAACATATGCTCCCATCCAGACGTCATCTCTTTCAGGGAAAACCCTGCATTTTTCAACAAGATAATGAGAGGCCACATTCTGCATCAATCACAACATCATTGCTGCGTAGGAGAAGGATCCGGGTACTGAAATGGCCAGTCTGCAGTCCAGATCTTTCACCTATTGAGAACATTTGGCGCATCATAAAGAGGAAGGTGCGACAAAGAAGGCCCAAGACGATTGAACAGTTAGAGGCCAGTATTAGACAAGAATGGGAGAGCATTCCTATTTCTAAACTTGAGAAACTGGTCTCCTCGGTCCCCAAACGTCTGTTGAGTGTTGTAAGAAGAAGGGGAGATGCCACACAGTGGTGAAAATGGCCTTGTCCCAACTTTTTTGGGATTTGTTGACACCATGATATTTTGAATCACCATATTTTCCCCTTAAAATGATAAATTTTCTCAGTTTCAACTTTTGTTCCATGATTTATGTTCTATTCTGAATAAAATATTGACATTTGCCATCTCCACACCGTTGCATTCAGTTTTTATTCACAATTTGTTTAGTGTCCCAACTTTTTTGGAATCCGGTTTGTAGCTGGAAAAATAAGACATCCTAAAATAGTACATCCTAGTACATGTCTGACTGAGTATTTGTCTCAAACAGACTTATTATAGTTTTGTATTTTCTAATTAGTTTGTATTTTTATTTCATTTTGACTTTTCCTTTTTCAGTTCAGTTAGTTTACAGAGTGGATTTTCTTGTTTCAGTTTAGTTTTTATCATTTGAAAATGTTTAATTTTATTTTAGCTTTTATTAGTTCCAGTGTCAGTTTTAGTCTTTTTAATTATTGTATGCAGTAACCCACAGTTTTGTAGACATCCAAAATCTTAAGAAGCATATCCACCAATGTCTCATCAGGCAAGATGTAATAAATTTTGTTTTTACCAGACTAACAAAAACTTAAACTAAGGATATATTTTCTCTACCGAGGGCCAGTGCACAAAATGTGCAAAGGCCCAATTGGAATTGCTCTGTTTATTCTTTTTTGTAATGCAAGTTTGTTTTCAAATTTCACAAATTGTTTCAGTTAGTTTAAATTTTTCTCAAACATCTATTTTTTTACTAAAATGTTTTTCATATCACAGTTTACAGTCTTAGTTTTGAGTTTCATTTTGTTAACTATAATAGCCTTTGTCCAAGTGCATCTAAACATGTGATAGCCGTAGACAGAAAACTAAATGGCACTTGATGTAATCTAACATAATTTTGCCAACTGTAGAAATGTTTTCTTTGATTCATAAAAAAATTTGGATACTTATTAATTAAAAACAGATAAATAAATGAAATTTTGTGAACAATAAAGAGATCTTAATCCTCACTCTAACTGTGTAAAATGAAGACATTTCATAGGAAATGTCATGCATTCATTATGGTAATTGCTTCTTGGATTTACAGTTTCTGTCAATCTGCTGGTTGTATCAGCTCTCCTCTGACTCTGGTCTTCAGATTTGGGGAAATGAGGTCTGCCACAAGAACAGTGGATATTAGCTCAAGGAACTTAAGTCATCTTTTGCTAATGAAAATGCAAACAAACAGAAAAACAAACAAACACAAAACTCTACAACTAACAAACACCATGTTGAAGTTAATGTTAATTACACTTTTGCATTTTTAAAGTTGAAGTTTCACTATTTTTTATCATTTGCCCAAAGAGATTAAAAATAAATACAAGGACATTAACATATAAACAGCTAAATATACTGTTTATTCCAGTCCCACTTCAGATTTGGTATTATCAATCCACATAGTTATATTAGTATCCCCCCATCAATCAACCTTGACCTCTCCTCAAACCCAATTTCATCCAAAACATATCCTGCTGTTCAATTTGCTGAGCAGATGTGAGAAGAGACAGGTCATGAATCTGTCCAGTATCTAATGTTTGGACCAAAAGCTTGAGAGTCTCAGTACTTGGCCACCTGCACCTCACTAGTACCAACAAATTGTGAAAAAAAATATAGATACAAAAAATAAATGAATAAAAAGGGTAAGAAATAAAAAGAAGCATTTGTGAAGCTGCCAGTTCCCACCAGTAACTGGGAACCCATAACAGACAACTTTAGTAATGAAATGTGGCCCTCTAGTGGCTGCAAATAGTTAGCTCTTCAACTCTGACACAAAATATGCACTCTATGAATAAGAGTGCATATTTAATTAATATGTACTCTTAATTATAATAATTTATGAAGACATGCATCCTTTTCCTTTCATATTTTATACTGGGTCTTTTTTTCTCCTAAGGAAAGTTTCTAAAACTAGTTGTTGAAAGTGTCCCACCTGACAAGCTGCGAGGGCGGGCCTCAGCGAGATCAGAAATGGCTCCTGTAGTCACAGTCTTCTTCATCCGGGAACCGGAGGCAGTAGCTCCTGGTGGAGGCTTTGTCAAGGCATCATCACTGCTGGCTCTTTTCAGCTAAAAACACATCTGCGCTTAGTAAAAGTCATGCAAGTCTAATAAAGTTCTTCTTAATGTTTTGACATGCTTTTATTTAAACCAACATTAGCAGGGTTAATCTGTGTATCACTGCACCTGTGACTTACCTTGCTAAGGCGCTGATCTGAGGCCAACGTGTTGGAGGATCTGGAGGTCTTCATGGCTGAGGAGGTGGTGGAGGCAGAGGACGTTGAGGGGGCCTGCCTTACTCGTTCCTGGAGTCCAGGCTTGGGCAGCCCCACTTTGGTGGCGCCCGCTTTCATCATGGCTAGGTGTCAGCGGACTACACCTGAAAAAAAGTCCAGACAAAAGCGGAAGTTATTCAATATGGTAAAACGATAATGAATAATAGATAATAGCATAGTATGTAGGATCTGCAGTAGGTGGGCAGATTTTCCCAACAGATGGTCAGGACAGACTTGGTCAAGGCTGCTTTGTTTTAACCGCTGAGCTCTACTCCATCTCCCAGAGGCAGCAGTGAAATATGAACACGACTTGCCCTTTAATAGAAAAAGCAACTGAACAACAAACACAACTCTGAGAGCATGATATGACACCGCCTGAAGCCGCTTAGGCTTTTAGAAATCTTTACAGTCATTGTTATTGTGATTATTATTTTTATTTATATAGTTTATATATTTTTGTTATCATCATACTGTGTTCATCTTTATTTTTCATGTTCATGTTTCCATCTTTCCTCCATTTGTTTCTTTATTATGCTTTATTTAACTGATCTTAATTTACAATTATGTTTATCAAACACTAAACTTTAAAAGAATATTCGTAGAGTTCTGCTAAATACGCTAACACATACTCATTGGCTTTACTGTATGTGGATAGATCATGCCTACTGATGAGCCAGGAAAGACCCTGGATAATGTTTCCCTCCAGTACATATAAAAGGAAACCCTGAAAAATAGGCAGCACATTTTCCTCAGGTTATAAGATGACTATAATGGATTAGCACTGACATGTGATATTTATTACTGTTCCAAAAAATACTAGCCAGGAGGTGCCTCTGCAGCGAGCTTAAGTTATTTTAGCAGAAACACTATTGAGCCACTTCCTGTAGGAGGGAGGAGAAAGAACACAGTCTCTTATCTGATTTGTTCATACCAGCAGCACTGACCAAGACTCCACTTCATCTCCACACCAGTAGAAGTTACATATGCAGTGTGAAAATGGCAGAAGTGGCTGTATAAGAAATATGGTAAAAATAGGCCTTTTGCAATTTTTCTTATTTTCTGTCATATACAGGATATACTGAGATACGGTGTACTGATTTTGGATGTTCATGATAAACATGGCCAGTGTTTGAAGTAATGAAACACACGAAATACCTGTGAGCCAACAAACAAACAAACTACAGGCATCAGACGTCTCTAAGCATCATGTCTAAGACACTTTTTGTTTTCCACTCTTGGATCATTACATTATCAAAAAGAGGGAATAACTCTTATACAATCTCAGAAGACACATAGCTACTCAAAACCATGAAATGATCAACTGCACCAAGGCTCGGTACAAGTTAATAAACTCATGCAAAGCTACTTGAGTAAAGTCCTGGGATAAAAATATGAAGCTGGAAAAGACACACACAACAGGCTCCCTTTAAAAGCAGCACAATAATATAATATGATGTGGTCAGGGTGACTGTTAAAGGTTTGCATTTGATGTGGGTAATGCGCTCATCTGAGCAGCTGAAGGAAATGGAGGTCAGAGTGCAAAGACAGAGCATACTGGTAAAAAGGTTCGGTAGCTCGCAAAGGGTTGGCTGACTTATTGATCGTGGTTGTGTGGTAACTTGATTATCTAAGAAGCAGAGGACTCTTGATGAGAATAGTACTCTCTAGTCACTTAAGCCTGTACAACCATGACTTCCCAACAGGAAGGCCACCTTTTTTCCCCCCTCCAGTCTCAACTATTTATACATTTTGTACTGCAGTGACTGAACTGCTGCATGTGTGTAGCAATTTAGAGCAGGACAAACGATGCTGCAGTAACGAGTAGTTGGCACATACTTAAGATAATTTCACACTGTAAGTACACTTTTAGGTGCTTAGGTACTGGTTAACAGCACAATATATTCAGTTGCTTTATTGACTGTATCAGAGCATGTGTTTTCCTGCTGGCCCATCATATGATACTTCGGGCCTCTCTAGGCAATATCCCATGACTAGCTCCTGCCTAGCCTAGCAGTCTAACACTTCAGCCGTGCTGTCTCACCTCCCCTCAGACACAGATTACATAGCTATGGCACCATTCTCTACAGAGCACAAGCTGTGCCTGTTTCTCAACCTGCCCTGAACACTTTGTAGGCTAAATGAGGAAGTGAGATACATTTGAGGATGTTTCAATCCAGGATGTATAATCGTGTTGCTGTTTTGTTTTTTGTATTTTTTATTTTTTTTTTGTGGGGGGGGGGGGGGGGGGGGGGGGGCTGTTACTATAAGGGAAGTAAAAGCTCTAGGCAAGCATTTTGAAAAGATAATAAATATGAAAGGATAAGTGTCTAAACTTTAACACTGATACATTTTGTTTCCACTTTCCTCGACCACTGCAGAAGTCTGCATATACAGTATGACCTTTCCATATTTCCTCTGCAGAGACAGGATTCTCAGGGGCCAGAGCCCTGTCCCACTTATCTTACAACGACCCAGTTGTGAAAACTAAAAGTCTTTGAGAGACAGCCAGAAGTAACTTTAAACTTGAACTAAAAACTAAGACAGTGAGAATCTCCCTGTAAACAGCACATTAGCCAAGAAAGATGACAGTCATTTAGTGGTTTTATTACACTGCATCTTGCTGAGTCTAATGAGACACATATGCTGGATGATGACATTATGACTTCTTCATGATTGGTAAAAAACTAAATATGGAATCTGCTCTAAAAAACAGCCATTTTTGAAAGGCAAATATAATTTGCAGTCACCACAGCAGTAAGTAATGGGTTGTCATCTGCCTTAATTATATTGCTTCCAAACTTGGCAAGATGATATAAAGGCTGAATATGAAACGGAGAGGAGGAGGAGTTTCTCCAAATTTCTGACAGTTGCTTCTAGACTGTGCTGCTAGAAGGAGATAAGAGGAAAGCAACTGACAGCAGTCATCAGTCTGGGCCTGGATAAAACAATCACATACACATCATGTGATCTGATAGAACTTCAGGAAAGAGGACAATGTGCTACCATTACAAAACCAAGAGAAGCACTGAAATCAGACCAAGATGAATTATATGAAAAGTCAACAAATTCAACCACACATCTTAATTTGAGGTTTGACAACTAACTTCCTGCATGCTTCCATTTCACTTAATCTCATAATTTAATCTTAATCTACTGCATACAAAATTCAATAATCTATTTTACTTTTGTTAGCTACATTATTAAATACAATCCCAAATGAAAGGAATTCATTTTACAAATATGTAACTTTGCCTGCTCAGCTTGCCATGACTACAAATAGTCTCCAATCATAGAGAAAAAATCCACGCTAATGGATCTTTGCTCATTCTCTGCCCCTAAATACAGACTCTGAAAAAGTACAGGACAAGCAAACTGCTCTCCACTTCAAATATTTAGTGCATGTAGAATATAAATGAACTACTGCATCAATAACTCGCAGTGCATAAGAATGAAGATCCTGTCTATTCATTTTAAGCAAACCTTAATGAAAAAATGAAAACATAGGTTGAAACTGCAGGTCCTAAAAAGGAGTGGCTGCAAAACTTGTTGCCTTCTTGTGATAAGACTCTGTTGCACAGAGTAAAGTCTGGTGTGACTGGATGCCACTGATACAAAGTTCTTTTTGCAGAGTTAAGCTAACGTATGTCTTTACCTCCAGACCATGGGCACTGACAAGACTGCTTCACTGACCAGCAGAAGCAGCAGCATGAATGATTCAAGAAATGATCAAATATAATGCTTCAAACCGCAATGGACACATAAGAAACAGAAAATAAGTTACTAGGTTAAATGTCACTCTGAATCATCACATCCTCTTGACTTCTTTCCTGTCTGGCTCTGTGGTTAGCAAAAAGGCTTGAGCTAAATAATATACAATAAGGATAACATATGGCATCCTCTGTTAGCCACCGTTTTTAAAACTTCCCTTCCAACAGATCATGGTGGTGAATTTACTAGGTTTAAACTATTCTATAGTCACCAATCTTATATTAAATTCAAAGTAAAATCATAGGAAGCTCTAAAAGAAGCGAGTAATGAAACAGTAATGGCAGATTGTTGACAAAACAAAAGACACAGCAGTTCACTTACGTTTTTGGTGCTGGGCGCTGTCCTATAGTCTACCTTGTGCCTGAGTTCCTTGCAGCAAAAATGAACAAAATATTTCTCTGTTGTTATGCTCTAAAGAGGCTGCGGGGGGAAATGCAGGGCCAGGAGCAATGGCTTTCACCTCCATACAGCAGTCAGGATGAGGAAGTACTGCAAGTTGCCAACTGCTGTGCTATGTGTGCTGTTGCCGCTTTCACTCTCTCATACAAAAGCAAATAAAGGAACTGTCTCAGCCATGGGCAAGTTGTTCTCCTCTCAGTTTTTCCAGACAGCATGAAAGGGGGGGGAAAAAAAAAAAAAAAAAAAAAAAATCTGGGATAGGCTGGAAAATGTACAACATTCAGATTTATTTAACCTGAAACTGTATGTTGTGAAAGAGAGCATCAGTAGTTTTTTTTTTTTTTTTTTAAAAACATGCTACTGGAAATAGATTCTGGAAACAGATTTATGATACTGTTGTGCACAGTTTATTTCTAAGTTATCTGTAGGCTTTATACACATAAATAATGGCCACTGACACTGACAAAGCCAATCTTTGTCTCAGAAACACACCAAAATATGAGGGCGGCTGATTTGTGGAGGGGTCAGCATTTTATGCTCTCCCATACTGATGTAATTTGGATCCCACAATGTACAGCATGCCAAGGCCGTGGAGCATGTGGGCAGAGTGTACGGCACTCTGGGCTGGGCTGGAACAGGCTCCAGTTTGTGGCAAGTGGCAAACTGAGGAACTTGGTCTGACCACACCCTTATGCCACCACAAAACCTGCCTTTTAAAAAGGGGGATTCAGAGAGTGTAGTAACAGTTGAGTTAGATGCTCAACATTTTTTTTTTTTTTTTTTTTTTTTTTTTTTTAAAGGCACGCAGTTTCACACTCAGATTCCAAGTGTGATTGATATACATCTGACAAAAACATGCTTTCGACGACATGGATTCTGATACTACCATTGTCACTCCCTACATCATAAATTACAGCCTTCTAGTGTCACAACGTCACTTTATTCCCATGATTATTCACCATGGGTGGTGACCTGTGTCATTATTGGACCTAACTACCTAACCATGACCATACGACTGTCTTTTTAAATCCTATATTTTGATGCTGCAAACAGAGTTAACTTCTTTTCTTCAATATTCATCAGATGACTGTAAAGGTTCTAATTAGCAATGGTAACCATGTTTTCTATCAACATCTATTCTTAATGGATTGTTGTAACACTGAGCATTGCAATACACCAAGTCATGAATCAATCTCTCTTTATTCCAAATTACACAGGAATGCAGAATACTTTATAATAAAATGAACCAAAGGACAGACGTAATTAGGCAACCCAATGTATTCCAAATCCAGCAAGTCGTAGACAAGTTTAATTTAGTTGCTAAGAGCGATTGCTTTTACTTTAAAGGCAAATGTTCTCCATTTCCAGTTTGCATTGCCTTACTTAAGTTTCCATACAGCTCAGAGAGTAGATAGCAAATGTTCGTAGACAACTTTGTGCGTTTCATGCAAACTACAAGAAACTTTTCTAGTGTCTCAAACAATGACAAGGATCTGGCCCCTCCACTAAATTTCCTGGACTTTTGAAAGCCCTAGCCTCCAAGCAGGGACTTTTTAGAAGTAGAAAAATACCCAGGACTTAATTTAAACATTAGTTTCCACAGTGGAAACAAAGCTTTCATGCTCCCAGGGGAAAGTTCCTGCAGTGGTAAAGTGGGAAGATTGTTTACTGTCTTTTTCTTCTTCCCATACATACCTTGTCATCAGCTTCTCCTTTTTATCTACAACTGAGAATATTTTCCAAGACGGTGCTGCTTACTTGGAGTAAACAAGAAAATAAACTGTGAAGGTGAAAATAAGGAGGCCTATGACTAATTATGATGACTATTTTTTTCAGCCATACAACAGTTGCCTTGCATATCAGGACGTTCCTATGAATTTCTGACCAAAATAAGCTTCCTTGCCATCTGCATAAAATTAAAACCAAACATGCAAATGTTAAATATGCAAGCAGGAAGTTGCAGACCCCTGGAGTATGAACCATGTCAAACATTAATAAATAATGATGGTACATAAAACCATGTGGCTGGTTGCTCAGTGGGTGACACGTCTGTCAGGGGAATTCCTGTCATCATATAATACAAGAGGCCAGGCAGACAGACTTCTGAATACCACAGTTCTCTCATAAAACTAAATGCAGGCACACAATACAGTAAACACCAAATGCTTGTCCTCCTCTTCCTTTTCCACCTTCTGTGTAGAGGAAAAAGCACTGAGTCAGAATCTCCACGAAGACACAACACTGTCACATGGGATGTAAAAACAAATACAAGATGTTCAATGATTCAGTCGAGCATGTCTAAAAATACAGCATTTTCCATCATCACTTGGCATTTGAAAATTGAAACTGCTCACAAAATTAGCCTAAGGCAAATAGTCGGAGAATTACAGGATTACACAATCAACATAAAATTAACTTAGACTAACATGAAAAAGGAATATTAGTAACAGTCCAAACAAACTTGACTATGGCTAGATCCCAGTTTCAAGATGTGGAAGCTAGCTTAGAAAATAACAAAGTAGCTTAACACAATGAAAAAGTTACAAATGTCAGTGTTGTCAAATCTCTGAAATAGACATTTCTAAGAAGAATGAGGTGTGATTTCATTATGTATACTATACTGTTGAGGGGCAGGCAGTCTGGTTTTTCATTTTATTGGGGGAAATAACATTAGACTGTTTTTGATAAAGCCTTTATGTTTAACCTTCTTGGTAATACTGTATCTGAGAATCTGATCCAAACCACACCAGCGCCAAGATTCATGGATTATATTAGCAGTTGCTAGTCACTACTGATGTAGCAACTGGTGAAACCTAATATAGCAATGATGACGTCTATCATTGGAAGCTACTTGGATGCTAATCATAGTAGCGAAAGAGCACTGTAACTAAGCTTCTTACAAATGAAAGCAGAGATTATCTGTGTGTCACTGCTGCTGCTGATATTAGTGATATCTCATTACCATAACAGCAGCTGAACAAATTGCCATCTGCATTACAGCTAATAAACGGATAGCTTTTTTTTTTTTTTAAAGCATACAACACTCCCAAATTAAAAGCTATTTTACTTTAAGATAGAGAAAGTAATACAAAGTTGCTAGTGGAGTTGACAATACACATCCAGGAAATTTTCACCTCCCACCCATGCAAAAATTGATTCATTTTGTCTGACCACCCTAGCATATCCAAAGCATCTGTGTGGCACCTGGATGTTGCAAAGCGACGTGTGCAAAGTCATTATATGGGCTAAAGTGAAACAGGAAGTGAGTGGGATTAGCTCGTATCCCACGCTGTGAGATAGTCTTTGTTCTCCCCCTGTGTTCCCCCTTTAGAGGAAAGAGATGTGAAACTAGGATGCAAAAAGCTGTATTAGAGGGTTTCCGGCAAAGTTTTACACAACATACTAGAGTAAATGTGACATTTTTGTACTGTGAGCGACTTGTAAGAACTGAATGTAGCAAAATCATGATGTAAAAAAAAACAAACAAAAAAACACTAAAATTAGAACAGCTGTACAAATATAAACAGAGTAAAAGCTAAAACCATACTGGAGTGAATGTAGGAGACTTAACCTACAGCTTGAAATAGTTTCATATACAACAAGAAACTCCACTACCCTTACAGTATTATACCGCACCGATGCTCAACTAAAACCCAGAAAAACTACTTCTCACCATCTGGATATTAAATAGACTAAAGATTATAGCTGATGTTGAATCATCACTTTTTTAGTTCAGTACAAGATGGGAAGAAAGTAGAGCTATTCAGCAAAGTGCTGTGTCGACAATTTCCTTTGATCTGGACCCAGATCAATATAACGCTTGCCTGGTCTGTTTACAACATGGCCTCCCAAACGAATCACTTTTTGAATATATGCTCATATTGAGAAGCCCAGTTCCCAGTGTTTATGTCTGATACAGTATTCACACACTGAAAATATGCCACTGTATTTAAATTAGGATAAGCTCCAATATTTGGTCTTCACTTGTGTACTTACTAACTTTTCAAGTACATGTTGTTTATTGTCATCTCTCTCATAATCAGAGTCCACAGTAAAATGACATGACTTTAAATGTATATGATACTACATGAAACAGTAAACATGCAGAGCGGAAAAAAAAAAAAAAAAAAAAGACTAAAAATAAAGCTTGTTCCCATTTCATAAATAAATAAATACAACTACATAATAGTTATGGTATCAGAACAACTAATTAGAAAATTACAACAGTCATCAAAGCAATCATCAGAAAACTGTTGACTTTCCAAATCTGTTCAGCTCAGCTATCTGAACCATGGTTTGGTACATACCATGTTATTTTAAGGGGTGGAGGGGGGGGGGGTGGAGGGGGGGGGGGGGGGGGGGGGAGAAGTAAACTCCATTAATCTGATGGATTTCCATTTAACTCTCTTCATAGCGCCACCGAACCTTTTAGCATAAACACCAAGCACATGGTTGGTGTTTATGCTAAACACCAAGCACATGCTTAATTAACTTATCATCCCAGCAAACATACAGTCATTATCTCCTCAGTGAAAACTGGTCATGATAACGGTAAAAACTGTGTTACTGATGGATAAATGTTTATTTCAACATCCAACACTGGTCCAGTGAGACCATCTTTTACAAAGCAACAAACAACAGTGATATTAATGCATGAAGAAATTAAATGTACATATTCTTGTTTTTCTTAACCCAAGCACATTTGCTTGACAGCTAATTCTATCAATAAACACTTGTAAGAAGGCAGCACACAAGATTTTTTGTACATAAGCACGCTAGTATTACAGAGCCTGCTTTTTTTTTTTTCAATACAAACACTTTTACCTAGATATATATTCTGTCTTATTTGTTCTACGATTATCTTAAGATGTCTGGTATGGTTTTTAGGGCAAGAGCTCAGGAGCGCAGTTGAGGCACAACATGCTGAGGGAAATCAACAAAAACTTCTGCCATAATTCTGGATAAATTTTTGACCAACGATATCTAGGTAATGTAGAAGTAATACATCCAGAAGACCTTAAGGTTGCGTCTCTGATGTCGGCACAACTTTAATTTTGCAACAACTTTTCAATACTGTGTCACTAAAGTGTCACTAAAAATTGTTAGCCGACAGTTTTTAAACATGGAAATGTTTGCTCAGATTACGTATGCTGCACAAGAATTTCCTAATCATAGATTCTCAACCTAGAAACACACTTAAACAA